CTAATTTCATTAAGTTTTTCACTAAAAATATCTTAAATTGTTACATTGCGTTTTTAAGTTTATTTTTTAAATGTAATTTTTAAATATGTAACAAATTAAAAATTAAAACAAAGAATTAAAATTTTCAAATCATTATATTTCTATATTAAAATGTTCAAATCTTTAAAACTCCACATATATGCCCAAATTAATAAGGAAGCCAAACAATTTTTGTAAATAAAAATATATGAAAGCTTATTTTAATAATAACACATATATATTTCAGTTTAATATATGAATCCATCCTTTTCGATTTATATGAACTTATTTTTTATTTTATTTCAAAAAGAAAATAACTCTTGAGTTTTAATTTTTTTATATAGCATAATTAAGATCACAAAATTAAAAAGTATTTCAATACACAAAATTTAATATACACATAAATTTTGATTTTAATTTTGATTGATTCCACCTAATATTATACTTCATATATAATTATTAAGAGCTAAGCGTAATCATTATTTATACTTTTATATAATAAATAGATACCACAATAATAAATAAAAAATGAAGAAATAACAAAAACAGGTAATACTAATAATAATAACTTAAGATGTTTCTAGAATTATTTAATTTTCTTGTTATCATTCGTGGTAGATTCTTACTTGCATGAAAGTACATTTTTTTTACCTTTGATCATCATTCACTTCATATATAGAAAGATGTTTCTAGAATTATTTATTCTTGATAGATTTTTATTACAACGAAATTACATTTTTATTCTTAGGTGTCTTTGATACAAATATATCATCCTATTCATTTTTATTTGTTAAGTTACTTTTTAACATCTTTTTTTTTAATTTCAATGTAGTATATATTATTTATTATATCAAACTTATTTATTTTCAAGTATATTAAGATCCAAAATAAAGATAAAATAATTAATTTATGATAAATTTTTATATAAAAAGTAGATTTTTTTTATAAGCATAATGAATAGAAAAAATATTAAGAATTAAATTAAAGTAATTGTAAAAGTTAACCTCTTTTTTTATACAAATTTTCTATTTTATTTCCTTCTTACTCACTTTAGTATTACTTACCATTTTATATCATTTTCTCCTTTCTCATTTATATATATATATATATATATATATATATATATATATATATATATATATATAGTTAAACAAACTAAAAGGTGACACAACTTACGAAAAATCCTGCGTACGCCACCGAGTATGGGGCGAAGTGTTGGCTTATTAAGAAATCTTATGTTCATAAGAAGAAAATCGTTGTGATGAGAATATTGAGGTAGATATTGTGGGCATACTAAGAGAGACAAGATTAAGAATGGAGATATCATGGACAAGGTATGAGTGGCCTCCATGTTGAACAAGATGAGGGATGTGAGACTAAGATGATTTGGACATGTGAGGAGGAGTATAGACGCCTCACTCCTCATAGGAGGTGTGAGATGTTGGTAGTGGTTGACGTCATGAAAGGTAAAGTCGAGCTGAAGAAGTATTGGGAGGGAGTGATTAGATGAAGTGCATCTAGATCTTACTGAACAAATGGCCTTTGATAAGAGAGTATAAAAGTTGCGTATTAAGGTAAATTGTTCGTTGGAAATTGAGAATTCTCTTGCTTCCTGATTAGCAAGTTTCTTTAAAGTTTAGGGTCTTTTCAGAAGAAAGCTCTATCACAACAAGGTAAGGGCAACATTGCATACACTCTACTCTCTCAAACCCTACAAGTGGGATTGCACTAAGTATGTTGTTGCTACTATTAAACAGGGCCGACCTAGAGTATTAAGTATAGGTTCTGTGGAATCCAGTCAATAAATATATAAAAACTATTTGTTGGGATCTACTAAGTAAGTTATTGGTCCAACGAGATGTAATCCGAAGGACCGATATAACATAGCATGTGAGGCACGAAAAGTTAGATGTCAAAATACTGATTCATAATCGACCTCTTTTGCGATCTCAGTAACTCAACAAGTTATACTAATTGATTTATCATTATGGGGTTTTAATGCTCCTTTTATTTCAAAAGATCTAGTTCAACATATATAAGGCATTTGTCAAATCGGGTGTAGCAACATGTGTTGTAAGACTTAATACCAAATAAGTCATTCTTCTTATCATGCATTGTGGACGGGCATTGATTTCCTCGTGTGTCACATAGCTCCCGCATTTCTGTTCAAAGCCATTTCTTAAAGAAATTTGAAGTATGGGATTACTGCTTGAAGCCATGCACTTCAGATAAGTTGTGCTTTAAAAAATGACGGCAAAATGATTTTAGCGAGAAAGGATCTAATAGCCATTCTGCTTCACTTTTTGCTTCAAATTACTCCATGGACTTTGTCGGTTTTGGTGTGTACATGAAAGCGGATGGCCTACTTGGAATTGAATCAACCATTAGAGCTAGAACCTTAAGGTCATGAGGTGAGAATTCATCTTTTAATTGTATTTAAAGCTTCAACATTTAAGTTATTAATCTTTTAAAATTACTCTTCTACAGTTGAATGGTGGATGCAATTTGGTCATAATGTCCCAAACTTGCAACAGTTTGCTATAAGAATGCAAAGTTTAACTTGTAGTGCATCCGATTGTGAGAGAAATTGGAGCGTGTATGAACATGTGAGAAACCATATTACATTAATACATTATTACTAATTTAATTGATACCTTAATCATCCCAAGTCCTCCTATTAATTAATTTCTAGTATGTGCAGATTCATAGTAAAAAGAGAAATAGGCTTGAGTTGACACGCCTCAATGATCTAGTGTTCATCAAATATAATAGAACATTGGCGCATCGTGACAATGCTGGTAATACCATTGATCCAATTTTGTTGGATAGTATTGATGAGGCAAATTAATGGTTAACTGGAGCACCACAAGATCACCAAGATGAAGAAGTGTACGAAGGAGAAAGTCTCACTTATGGTGACGTTTCTATGGCAAGTGGTGTTGAGGAGAATATTTATAATTTTAGGGAGAGTACTTTAAGGGGCAAGGAAAGAGGAGTTGGAGGTTCTAGTTCGAGTCGAAACCTCGTTGATAAGCCTTCTGATGATGAAGAAGATGATGACCAAGTAAAACCCTAGATTATTTTGAAGAATGAGAGTTTAAGTCTTTGTGATCTAATTATGCTTTTATTTTTTATTTTTTATTTTATATGTTATGACTTATGAGTATTATTTATTATCTATTTATGGAGTTATTTAATATTTTTTTTTATTTTTATACTAAATGTCGCTTTTTAAAAAAAAGTGTGCGCTTCACTTCACGCTTTTCCGTGAAGCGAGTCCTCATCGCTTTTTTTCGCTTCTCGCTTCCCAAAATAGTGTTTCTCGCTTCTAATAAGACTACTCTTAATAATTTGAGGTTTCAACAAATGATTCAACTTCAAGAAAAGACTTCTAAATTCGTATATGATTGGTACTTCATTATACTTTTCCATAACTTGTATGATTCACTCCCAGCTTTTCATTTCAAACACCATGGTTTGCTTTATGATTTTAACATGAGGAGAGTAAGCTAAGTATTCCACTTCTACCTTTCCATAGTAACTCAATGCAGAATCCACATAATTGTGGTAGATTTTAGAAACATCACCTTGTTGCTTATTATGCTTTTAAAGAGGTCTCTCCGTAAAAATTATGAATGTTCCGATAAATATTTTAGATTCATAGAAGATTGAGCCAAATATTCCGCTTCTACCTTTCCGTAGAGATTGTCCAATCATGAAAAAAGTCTATGTAGTAACTCAGCAGAGAATCATATCATTGTTGTAGCGTCTTGTTTTTGCAAGGCCCTTCTAGAATTCCATCTAGAAACATCCGAAGAAGAATGAACTTCTTTCCACCTCAGAGAAACTAAAAGTGGCATACTTCATTTTGAAAAAATTAAAGTTGGGTCTAAAAAAAGCAAACCAAACCATAACCTGATCTAGCCCAAAACACCTATAGCCTGTCCAAATATGAAAGAAATTAAAGAAATGAACCAAAAGGAAAAAACAAAAAGAGAGATGGTTGTCTTCCAGCTTGAGCTTCCATCTTCCATGGAGGACGAAGATGAAGCGATTGCCTTGGATTGAAATCGACTCATCAACAACTGCAACCAGCTGAGTTCGGTTGTTTCCACAGAAGGCACTCTAAATCTCATGAATGTCATGGAAACAAATTTCATTGAGTAATTTTCAATACAGATCGAACAACTCATATAAGAATCGATCTACTCCCTAACTTACTTTAATCTTGTAACTCCATCCTTGAGCTCCATTTTTAAGTTTTACCCTTTCCAGCAGATTCAGTCAGAAACCCCAACTAAGAAACCCTAACTAATACCACTGCATAGGCCAGGGACCCATTCTTACCCATACATTATTCTAAAATAACTTCACGGCTTTGAAGAAAGAGGTAATGCGAAAGACGATGCAGGTTGATCGTCACCCACGAAGGAGAGAAAGAGATAATATACTTCCCATAGAATTTCCATTTACATATTCGACAAGAATACAATTGTGGTTCATATCTGTCAGACACATCCAGTAAGTGAACTCACTGAGGTAGTTAATATCTTGGACCCCTTTTCAGATAAACGCAACTTTACTCTATTTGAAAATGGAATCCAATCCAACTTGCAGACATCTCGACTTCATGTAACTATATGGGAAGAGTACACTTGGTGTTTTCTTTCACTGGGATGATTGAATCCTAATATTCATTAACAACTAAGCGACACCCTTAAATGTGTCTAACTTGAATCAAGTTACAAGTCATGGACATGAAGAAAAAGGATGGAAAGGAATTGAAAGAGAGTAAGGTCAATCAACTCTTTAACCTCCATGCTTTTCACTAAAGTTTTTAGAAAAAATATTCGATAAAGAGAATCCAACATGCTACAACAACATACCCTATGAAATCCCATTCAAAAAAATAAAATACAAAAACTAAAGCAGACAGAGAAAATAATAGCCTAAAAGACAAGGCTGCTAAAGAGTCTAGATGCTTACGGAGCCATCCAGCGGTAAGTGCTAGTTTCTGGTGTCATTCCTTCAGTCAGCACCTCAATCCGAGCAATACCAAAGTCTGCAATCTTGATTGACTTGTCAGCAGCAATCAATAGATTGTCGGATTTTAAATCACGATGAATAAGATTTAGACCATGCACATACTCCATCCCCTTTGCCACATCCAAGGCATGCTTTACTACTAACTTCAATGGCACAGCTCGGTTTTGTCGCTTCGCGAGGAACTGACGCACTGATCCTCTGCTTGCATATTCAGTCACAATGCATAACACCATGGTTTTACGACATGCACCAACAAATCGTATAACATTTGGATGCTTTAAATTTGCTAGCATCTTGACCTCATGTTGAAATTGCTGCTCTATAAAGTGAGCCTGCTCAAGAGCATGTTCTGGCCTCTCTAGAAGCTTAATGGCAACATCTTCACCATTATAAGTTCCGTTATAGAGCTTCCCAAAAGAGCCTTGAGCAAATGCTTGTCCAATGGTAATCCTACTCAAGTCAATTGTCCACTCATCACAAATCACAAGCCCAGTGGTGGGGAATTGAGGATCAACCAAGGCTTGAGCAAGGGCATCATCGCTCAACCTAGAAACTCTCCCCCTGACTACGCTAGCAGCAACAGAATAGTTACTGTGGATGTGATTACCCTGCTGGTTTAGAATATCAGTGTGAGAACCATTTGAACCAACACTTCTGTTATCCACTGCCATTGCACCAGAACCACTAGCATTGTTCATCCCATAACCTTGAATAGACATGTTTGCCCCTCGCCAAGCTTATGATAAAAAAATTGCGACAATTTTGATTCAAATCTACAAGTCTAACAAATGTCGGAGCTACGGTAGTTTTTCTGATAAAGCAGGTACAGCAGAAGAGCTTCAATCCGGCTTATTTGTTTTGCATGAAGATTTCTAAAATCAAGTCGTACCTCAACAACCCTGAAAAACATAAAATTTGAAACGGTTAGTTATCAAAATCAATTCTTCTATGTGGACTTAGAAGGTCAAACACTTGTGAAACTGAGTAATCATGTTTCCTCTTTGATGAATAACCTAATGATAAGCATACTAGAGGTAGGAAGCAATTATCTCAAACTTTAACTTTCACCACTACAATTTTCTTCCGATTATTGTCGGCAAACTTTCGAAGGCAAAAAAAATAATCCAAAATTCAAACATAGTACAACTTTCGGCAGAACTCCACATTATAGAAATAAAGAAAAAGGCTAAATTTGTCCCAAAAAAATAGATCTAATAAATATGTGGATAAATTTTAAAATGTTCTCCAATTATTAACTGTAAATGTCCTTAATTATTTAAAAGCATAGTAAACATCAAACAAAATACATGTGCTTGAGATTTTTTCTTTATTTTAACTATAGTTAATCAGCCAATAATTTCACACCAAAAAAGTGATTTTGGAGTGTGGATTACAAATGAGATTTTGAAAGTGAATGTATTTGGTTGTAGATACAAGTTAGATTTAATGAATTTTTCCACTTTGAATTCAAGGAATATACTCATAATTACTGCAATAAAGCAAGATTTAATAATTTTTTTCACTCCAAATTAAAGATAGTAGAAATAAATAAGAAGAGACACAAGAGAAATTTGGTGGTCGGATGAATTAAATATGGTAAGCTGGATTTAATGAATTTTTCCACTTTGAATCCAAGAAAAAAGTAATAAATAAGAAGAAACATAAGACAATTTTGGTGGTTGGATAAATCAAATATAGTAAAATAGATTTAATGAATTTTACCACTTTGCATTCAAGGAATATACTAATAAATAAGAAGAAGAAAAACGGCAAATTTGGTGGTTGGACGAATCAAAATATTCACAGGGACTCTCTACCGTTTTGTATCGTGTTGTATGGCTAAAAATGTAATATAATTTGAAATGCAATTAAAGAATCAACCACAACACGATCCCAAAGTAATTACAGTCCATAATGGAAATCCTCTTAACCAATGCCACTCTAATATAGTCTTCATAGGTTAGAATAATTAGACCATAACCTACCATAAACCCCTTTTATATCCATACTCCATAGTTGAGACTAGGTAATAACATCATTAACAAAATTTCAACTGAAAATAAGGAGAATTCACCAATTTCATGTAATTGTCATAAACAATTTACAAGCACAGAAGATAGGAACACATTGCCAATTAAGAATTTAGATAAAAATGGAACTCAAAACGAGTCTAGGGATGCATAATTTTAGCTGCTTCTTTATTCTTCATTGACATAAACAACCATTTTGGGGTCATATTACTAGTTTACACGCCCATATTTTAAAACAATTGAATTCAGAAATCAAAATAACATCAGCAACAACATTCCCATGAAAAAAAATTCTAATTTTTAACTAACTTGATGTACCAACAAACAGACGAAATGAAATGAATATCTACAATGATTTTAGGTGCTTTTTTTAATTCTCATTGAAACAAAGATCGAAGATCAACTATTTTTAATATTGCTCAAAATAACATAATCGACAAGTTTTCATATAGAGAGAGAATATTTATGCGGTTGCCGATGTTGCATTCATTCTTATCATCCTCAGCCATGACATCAGAGGTCCATTCGACACTCAAGTTATTTTCTTATGCATTTTGACCCCTTACTACCGGCTTCATCTTACTCCGTCGTCTTCTACGGCCTAAACCCTAGGAATCGCCATGCTAAAATCACCGTTTACAGCCAAAAGCATTTCAACTCAACGACGTCATTTGCTTTTAGACCCACCTAAGTTATTTTCTTATACATTTTGACCCCTTAAATTTTATGACGATAACATCAACAACATATTCAATGTAATTTTACGAATGGGATCTGAAAAAGGTAAATCGTACATACACCAAGTAGAAAGTTATTTCCGAAAGACCTTTGGCTCAATTAATGAATACTATCGTAATTTGGGGGTTTTAAAAGGGTAAAATATACGCACACCAGTTAGACAGGTCATTTTAGAAAGAACCGTCAACTCAAACAACACGTGTTAAAGTAATTTGATTAAAAAATCTACGGAAGTAAAGAGGACATAATAATTAAAAGAAAAAAAGCATTACATTGTATTTGAGAAACAAGGAATACAATAATAATAGTCTGTTATGCGGAATTTGATATAATACGAGAAAATATAAATGCGAAAAACAAGACAACAGATTTACGTGGTTCACCAATAAATTGGCTACGTCCACGGGAAGAGGGGGAGCGGTTTTATTATGGAGGGGCAAGAACAGAATTACAGAATAGGGTTTGTCATAGCGTCTATATATAGTGCTAAGATACGCCCTAACAGGCTTGGGCCCAAAATACATAATTGACAGATAATTAAGGGCCCAATTCAAGGCATTCAACAAATCTCCACCTTGACTTGAATTCTCCAAACAGATTCTTCAGACGCACTATGATAGTGCCAGGCCTCCCCCTCTTCCTCAGAATTGCACCGTAGGGCAATTAACAGCTTCTGATGTTGAGCAAGTCTAAACAGTGTTGAAACTTGCTCTGTGGAACCGGCTTTGTGAACATATCAGCAGGATTATCAGCAGTTCCTACTTTCTTCACCTTGATTCTCTTCTCACTTTTCAGAAAATGATACCTAACGTCAATATGCTTGGTTCTCTCATGATGGACTTGATCCTTGGCTAGACAAATTGCGCTCAAACTGTCACAATACACCGTAGCCTGATCATGATGAAGACCAAGATCACTAACCAGCCCTTTCAGCGAAATCCCTTCTTTTGCAGCCTCTGTCAAGGCCATGTACTCCGCTTCCGTAGTAGACAAAGTCACTGTAGGTTGCAAAGTTGCCTTCCAACTGACGACAGATCCTCCAAGGGTAAACACATAGCAAGTCATCGATCTTCTTGTGTCAACATCTCCAGCATAGTCAAAATCAGAATAGCCAGTAACCAAGCATTGAGTATCACCTCAATAAATGAGACCAACATCACATGTACCTCTAAGGTACCGGAAAATTCTCTTCACAGCCTGCCAATGTTCTTTCCCTGGTTGTCCCATGAATTTGCTCACTACACTGACTGCATGTGCTAAATCTGGCCTTGTACAGACCATAGCATACATCAAACTTCCTACGGCACTGGCATAAGGGACTCGTGACATATACTCCTTCTCTTCTTCTGACTGTGGAGCGAACATGGCAGTGAGATGGATATTGGCAGCACTGGGGGTATCAATAGGCTTAGATGAAGACATGCCAAACCTCGCCAAGACCTTCTGAATGTAGCTTCTCTATGACAAGAAAAGTTTCCTTCTCTCTCTATCTCTAATGATCTCCATCCCTAGAATCTTCCGAGCGGCTCCCAGATCCTTCATCTCAAACTCAGCACTAAGTAAACCCTTCAGCTTCTGAATGTCATACTTCTTCTTTGCAGCTATCAGCATATCATCTACATAAAGCACCAGATAGATGAATGAATCATCCTTGAGCCTATTGTAGTAGACACAACAATCATATGAGCTTCGAGTATAGCCCAACTTCACCATATAGCTGTCAAACCTTTTGTTACCACTGCCTTGGAGATTGCTTAAGTCCATATAAGGACTTCTTCAACTTGTAGACGTGATTTTCCTTCCTGGAACTTGGAAACCATCTGGCTGAGTCATGTATATCTCTTCCTCCAACTCTCCATGTAGAAACGCTGTTTTCACATCAAGTTGTTCAAGCTCCAGATTCTGATGTGTAACTATCGCTAGTAACACTCGGATGGAAGTATGTCTGACCACTGGTGAGAAGATCTCATTGTAGTCCACTCCCTATCTTTGGTTGAAACCTCTGGCAACAACCCTGGTTTTATACTTGACTCCTTCTGCTGGTGATATCCCTTCCTTCTTCTTGAAAACCCATTTGCAAGTAATAATCTTTCTCCCCGAAGGCTGTATGACCAAATCTCATGTCTGATTCTTGTTTAGGGACTCCATCTCATCTCCCATAGCAGCAAATCATTTTTCAGAATCAAGACTTAAAATGGCTTCTTTGTAAGTAGACGGCTCAGATGTATCTACCTCTTCAGCAACCTGCAGTGCATAACCCACCTTGTCCTCAAAACCATACCTCGTAGATGGCCGAAATCCAACCCTCCTTGGCCGATCTTGAGCTATACTCCGATGGATATCTGATGGCATAGATTCTAGAATATCAGTTTCTGTCTGTGGCTCTTGATCCTCCTTTTCAGGTTCTTTTAAATCGCTCTCATTCTGAATGACTTGAAACTCCACCTGTTTATCAAGACTCGCAGTTTTTGACGTAGTTGTAGGCTTCACAATGGTTCTAAGCAGAGAACTTTCATCAAAGACAACGTTCCTGCTCATAATAACCCTCTTTTCTGCTGGAGACCAGATTCTGAAACTTTTCACTCCATATCCGTAGCCCACAAATACTCCCTTTTTAGCTCTTGGATCTAACTTACCTTCACTGACGTGATAGTAAGCCGTACAACCAAAAGCTTTCAGATTTGAATAATCAGCAGCTTTTCCTGACCATATCTCCATAGGTGTCTTGCACTGTATGCCTGTATGTGGTACGCGGTTAACCAAGTAGCAAGCTGTACTAACCGCTTCTACCCAGAATCTTCTATCTAGCCCAGCATTAGAGAGCATGCACCTTGCTCTCTCCAGAAGTGTTTGATTCATCCGCTCAGCTACACCGTTCTGCTGTGGTGTATTTTTGACTGTACGATG